ACTAGGGGCGGGGGCAGCTGAGAAGACTGCGGCGCTACTGGCAGCGACACTGGCGGCAGCCGTGCCGGTCACCGAGTGGGCGATGCGGAACAGGGAGGAAGTGGGGTGGTCTCTGGGCGCGAGAGGCGGGGCTGGCGGTAGCACCTCCTACAGGTCAGGGCAGAACCAGCTTGATCCAGATGGACATGGGCATGACAGAGTGCGGGGGCTGTGCGCGGGCTACCCTCCTCCTCCTCACCGTCTGCAGGTGGCGCGCCACCTGGATGTCCACCACCATCTCGTACGATATGGCTGGCTGGACCTCAACCTGTCGGGGTGAGGTGGGGGTGGTGGTTGGCGGGTGGCGTGGGCAGTGGGCAGGAAAGGGGCGGGTCGCCGACCACCCCCACCGCCCGGACGCCGAAGCTCACTCACCTGGCGTCGCGTCTCCGTCCGCTCCGCCCTGCCGGTGTTGGTGGTGATGACGTCACAGAGCTCCAGCGAGGGGATGCCGGACCCCGAGCGGAGGCTGATGCTGGGGAGGGCGACGAAGGGGGCGAGCGTGGTCTCGGGGGCGACCTCCGCTGCGGTATCCGTGCCCCCCTCCGCGCCCTCCGGGATCACCGGAGCCGGCGACGGAGCATCAGTCGCACCAGCACCAGCGGCGCCGTCAGCCTCCATCCCAATCTCCGGATCCGGATCACTCGGATCTGGCTCCTTCCCGGAACCGGAAACGAGAGCACGTGCCGTGGGAGCCAATCGGGGAGGGGGAGGGGGAGAGGGAGGGGGTGATGGTACCAAGAGAGATGCGGCCGGCTGCTGAGCTGCTCCATCAGCCTCCTGGCGTTCCTGGGCGGGAGCTGACATTGCGTGTCGTGGGTGGTCTTGGGTGGACGATGTCAAACTACACAAAGAAAAAGTTACAAAGTTACTATCCTCGGTTTGAAAATAATAAACAGACACCTGCTCTGACTGCCCTCACTATCATAGCGAATCGGAACATAACAACACGGCGGAAAAAACAAATCATTGAGCACCTTACCCCATTTGGCGGAACCATAACAAAGCAGAAGCCTCTTGTCACAAAAATATCTCAAACGCCCTTAATTTGATGTTGTTTTTGATGAAACTTGTGTGGTAGAGTGCCATTTTTTCACACCAAAGACAATAGGACTACTCATTTTACCCGAAACACCCGAGAAATTTTGCATGTTATGGTTCCCGCTACGCGCTGCGGACGCGCCACCGAACATACTTACTTTTCACCCCCCTATCAGTGCGGAGAAGACGCTGGTCCGATCTCCGGCAATGTCATCCCTGCGTCATTTCACATATTTCATAGAAACGCCACAGAAAGTCGTGAGGAATCGCGTAATTCACAAATAAAAGCACGTATGCGGCTATTACAGTGCAGCATACACTGCTCTAAAAAATGTGGATAACGTATGTAAATTTACAAGAATTTTTGTTGGATTTATAAAGCTTCGAAAGGGGGTAAATAATCTTGTTTTATGCAGCGGCCATATTGGCTCCGCAGCAGGGTGCCTCTTCCAAGGCACACTACGGACGTTGCCAAGCAACAGCGTCGCTTGTCCAGTTCCAGTGCACTGCACACTGCACTACCCAACTTCAGGGGCGTACAGAGCGATGGTACGCACGTTCGATGTGGTAGCCACTGGAAGCCGAGCTGGAAAAATGGGGGGAGGAGAGGGCAAATGTGGGAAGGAAAATAGGACAGTAGGTAAATTGGGAGTATAGTGGTTGATCAAATTTTAACCATTTATTGAAACTATTAACATGCAAAACCTATCACATACAAAAATTAACAGAAATATTTCCCAGAAGATGTATAAGGACAAGGAATTGATCAACTTATTACCTAGCTCATAGGTTAATAAGAACAGCATGATGTAAGAAGGGCTGATAGAAATCAGCTTAAAAGTACCACACTACACACCATCAAAATATTAAAAACAAGTATATGTCAGGAAATGTGTATATATGATATTTTAGGGATTGGTCTACATCATTCTGGAGACCCTGTAACCTCTGATTTGGGAAATGATTACCATGAACATTAAAAGCTGAATGACTTAAAAAGATTTTACATTACTAAAATGTTTCCCCTAGATATTTCCAGGCACATGACATGAGCTAAAATTTGTGCTAAATCACTAAAGTATGTAATACAAAAACCAATCACAATCATGTGATATCCATAATGAAAGAAAAATAGTAAATGACAGGAACTGATCTAGAAATATCACACTACTGAAATGTAAACACAAAAATTGAAAATTAAAATGACTCCTTCAACCATAGCTTACTGAGCAGCAAAAATACTTTGATATTAAGGCACTTTCTAACACAATTTTTATGAATCAGAACTGACTAAGCCGTAACAACATTGAGCCTGGTTTTAAAACATTAAACCCCAGTATTGAACATAACTACAGAAGTTAGATTGTGCCAACAAGAGCAGTGTAAAAACAGCTAAATGAGAAAAATCAGTGTTCATGAACATTGCACTAGAACACATTCCAGGTTGGTAAGTTAATAAATAAGCACATTTAATAGACAGTTTGTGATAACACTGCTCCTATAGGCACAACCCCTATACCAAAGACATAATTTATAGGTG